CTCACCCCCCACACTCGCACACATGCGCGCACACTCATGCACGAACAATATATGCTTGTACATTATAGGTACTGTAACGTACTTTACTTTACTTTGATGGAAGGTTCTGTTCTGACGTTACTTGTGGACGCCCCGGTAGACTACCAACTCTACGGAATTTTAATTCGCAATTTCGAATTCTAATTTACAATATTTATAGGCGTCACTGACGTCCCTCTTTGGACGCCTAATTTTGCGACGACCCTTGACTACTGTTTTATCGGCAGCGGTAGTCGGCAGCCGGCGGCGGTGAGTGACGTCACAGGAACGTACTCCGGATTATAATATTTTTTGTTCTGTTAGTCTCGGGCGCCAGTTTCCTTATCTTTTACGTTGGGGAAACTCCACGTGAACCCTACTCTCGGTTTAGAGTAAGTACTCGGGATAGCTACAGTGAAGAAAGTTTAAATCCAGGGGTCTGTTATATTTCTCTTACTTTTAATGAAAGTAGTTCTCTGAATATAATGTTATTTTACTTTTAAAATAAACGGACTTATCAGTGTAGGTCACAAAAGATACTGCGATCGGAATTTATCAATCTTATCAGTGTTAAGAATGAATACAACTGGAAATATATTTACTAGATTTATTTTATATTAATAAGGCCTACGGAAATTGAAACAAACAAAAGTAAAATAGATTCTAATTACAATTATTATAATAACCAGCTATAATCAGAAATATACAAATAATTTACAAGCGGTGTGAATAAAATAAAATGGGTTAGAGCAATTATTTACGACGGAATTAAAATGCCTATTCGGTTTTCCGGTGCTGTAAATAAATACAAAATTAGCAAATGGTCAAATATCAGGACACAAAATCGTTACGGAAGGAGTATTAGGCGTTTGGTTTATTTTTTTACAATAAACAATCTAATACTCTAAGAAAACGGTACGCCATAAACAATTATTTTGTTTTAATTTCGGTCGGTAATAGAAAGGGAAAAAAAGAAGGTTAATAAATTAGAGTAATAGATAATCAATAAATAAATCGGTCCCAAATGGCTCTGAAACAGACAAAACTAAATTACAGGCTACTATAATTCTACAAGTAAATATCGGCGGCGGTTTCTAGCAAAGCAACGGAAATTAAGCGGAGGTTCAACCACCCAAGGAGAAAAGCGAAGCAATGCATTTTACAACGGGCATAAATAAGCAAACGGTAGTCAGGAAAATGAATTATTTGGTTAACAGGAGGCAACGTCTAAGCGAGGTGTGCGTTCGATCGTGTGGCGGGTGATAGAATTCTCCCGGAAGCGGTGGGGTATCCAGCTAAACTTCGAGGGTCTATCCGTCATTGCACAGCCAACACACAACGTCTTCCACTGGCGGTGGGATATCCAGCCAAACTAGCAGTTTCAGTTATTGTGCCTTACAGCGTTTATCAAGCTTGGGCGGTGGGATATCCAGCCAAACCTTCGCCGACAACGCTGCTGCCGTACAGTCCGACACCTTCACGTTCTCTACTGATGGTAGGGTACCCAGCCAAACCAGCAGCTTCAGTAAAGGGGCTCACAACGAGGGCAGTGGGATACCCAGCCAAACCGTCGCGCGTCGCCGATAACGCTGCTGCCGACGCTGCCGTACGAACCTGCACTCAACGTCTTCCACTGGCGGTGGGATATCCAGCCAAACCAGCAGTTCAGTTGATGTGACGGACACCGTTCGTCGAACGAAGGCGGTGGGGTACCCAGCCAAACCTTCTCCGATAACGCTGTGGTCGTACTGTCTTGCCAGAGTTCAAAATCGGCCAGACTTATACCATAGCAGGACAAGTAAATTTAGGAAAATACGATTTGCTTACTTATTCCGGATGGTTGCTCTCGGCGGCTAACTCCTTGGGTCGGATGGCGGTTGGTAGGTCTTCGGTGGAGTCCTCGGAGGGGTTCTTGGGGTGGTCTGGAGCTCTTCGAGTTCTGACAACGAACTGAGGATTTTCGTCCAGGAAAGCTGGTTTTATTGACACAATCCCCCCTCGATTAAGCAGGAGTCTTCGTGGGATTGTGCGCGCGGCACTCGTCAGAGTGGGGAAACGGACGGTTTTGGCTTGACTCGCGGATAATTATTGCTCTGGCCCAATTAAGCTAATTAATAAATAAATGGCCAACAGCCTTGCATAAAACGATAACTTAAAACTAGTTCATTACAGTACATCTTATATATCCTGTAGCGTAGGGGCCTCTTCACTTTCCCTCCCTTGTTCTTATTCGTCTCTATGTATGGACACCCAGTTATTAGTTCATGTTCTCCAGGGAAATTCATTACGACTAGTTAACCAACCCCTAGTAGTTCTGATCCAATGAATTTCGTCAGAGATAACTTAAAATTATAAAACGTTTTTTCGAAGGAAGTACTTTTATTGCCTATTTATGTTACAAAACTAACAGCACTTCTGTTGAACCTATTATCGTCCTCTTGAGCGGATGACTGATGTCATGTAGCAGCAACTCGGTAGGCAACTTTCACCATTTGATAAATAAAGTTTCATAATCATTATAATTCTTATAAAATAAAATATAAATAGTGGTACAATATATATGCAGGGTGTTCGGATAACATGCATATTATCGTCGCCGTGCGTCGGCATTAGCGTGATCAAATTTGCTCATAATTATGGCCGATTTATAAATAAATACCCTTACTTCATATGATATCTACTCTCAAGTGTGACCTTAGCAGATACCAATATTCCTGACATTTGACCCATTATACCCCAAAAACTTTCTACCTTCAGACGTTGGGCCCACGAGGACTTTTGATTTTTTGATTTTTAGTCCGTTTGACTGTACCGGTTTTTTTCATCTATTTTGTGCGGGGTTCCTTTCTAAACATCACATAAACCGTAGCAATTTTGTAGTGAAAAAAGAAAGAAACAATTTTCCTGAATTATTTTATTATGCATATAAGTATAGGCTTTTATTAGTAAATTGCAATTAATTATACCTACGTCACACAATATTTACACATTCAAATTACACATACATAACATATATACAAGTATTTGTTCTAAAATTATGTGCCAATAATACATTTTCAAACAATAAAGTTAGTACGTAACGCAATCGTCAATTTTTCAGTAATGTAAAATTTCACTTATATACCTGTATTCAGAAATACTAATGTTGAAAGACAACTAAAATTAACTCATCTATAATCTACTCTTGTACACTCAATGTGAGTTAGTGTTCAAAGATTAAAAATCAACTACATACAACAAAAGGTCGTGAAAAAATAAATAGCAGTAAAATAGTCATTCGAAATTTCACAGTCTCAAAGAAATATTACTCACTAATACATTTGACTCCATAGAAATAATTATATCACTATAAAACTTGTTTATATGTACATAATCATAGTGCAAAGAAGACATTTATTGACTATCTAGCTACTAACAATAAGTATTTAATGTTTATACTTTCTAATACTACCTACATATACCTTTAAGTTAATAAATATACATTTCTAAGAAAAATCACAAGTAACGATGAAAGTGATCACCATCAATACAGAAAATTACCTATAGTTAGTCTTAATATTGTACAAAATGTAATCTTAATTTAATTAAATACATTTGCATGTGCTCTTTGATAGATTGTGTTTTCGTTAGCACATACATTTTCATGTGAAAGAAAAAAAGGTTATATTTACAGGCGGAACTAAATTTGATTGTCACTTCAGGGATGTCGGAAATATTAAAGATACAAAACAGTTAAATGGATAAAGTGGCGCATAATTTTATTGTGCTCACAAAACAAATGAATAATCGTAATCGTTCGGATTTTATTTAGAAACAAGTAAAAATCGGCCTTATTTAAAATCAGTTGTAACTTTGTTATTTATAGTCTCGTCTTAAGAAAAATATCTTACACCTTTCTGTCGCTACAGAGTAAAAACTAATATAGTGTAAATTCAAGGTTATTTATTAATGAAATTATTTTAGTGTTCAATTTTGAGTGTGAACTTTAGATTTTAACACAATCTTGTAAACAAGTTTATCAACACAATTTTTAGTTAAAAAAAACTAAAATATGTGAGAACAGGACAAATTGTGTAAAAATCACTCCATTAGTTGTTAATATTACGCTTTTCTGAGTAAGGGGAATAGAAAGTTGTGTACCTATAGACAGACGCATACCGACACTTAGCTGCCAGACAACAAATACATCTACAGAGCCTTCATAAGTGATTACAAACCACGTGACCAATAATTTTTTTTAGAACTGTAACTTTATTTCCTTCAAGTTGGCAATTATATTTGGTTAAAATTAAAAATTATTAAAACAATAAGATCAAAATTACATTAAAACACAATATTCTGTTTCACCGGCTGTGATTGGCGTAATTTTTTCACGAGATTCTCTTCAACCAATCAGCAATCGCATTATCTCGAACGTAGGCGTAACGGTTTATTACTATTTATTGTGAACGAACCATTAATATTGCGGTGAGACGAAGATGTAGGGATTTTTTCATTACTAGTACCAGTCGTGAAATGTTGGGTTGTCTAAGCTCAGCGGTCACGTGGCTTGTAAAAGGCTCTGTATTTAGTTATAATTAAGAATTGATTTTAGTTACTATTGTGTGAATTCAAATTGAGTGAACTCAAAAGTTATTTTAAGATTAAGATTTATTTTGCTAACTAGTTTAGTGAACGTTACTCAACAAAAATGGTGCTATTATTTTAACACAGTTGGGTGTGGACTCGTTTTAATAAAAGAATTATATTGATTTTGAATGAAGATTTATTCAATTTCTTACGGTTTACCTACTTATGTGCTTTTTGATGTTCTTTCCAGCCAGTAGTTGATTTCTTTTTTAAACAATAGTTTTCGAGGATCAGCAGAACACAACAGTTCTGAATTTTTGAAACGAAATGAATGAATGAATTTTTGAATGAAATGGATAAAAAACTATTCTTGTAATCTAGTTTACTGATTGAAAACTTCTTCATTCAGGAATTCTGGTGGTCTGGAATTCCCAAGGGATGGTTTTCTCTTGTTTGGGTATACTGTCTGGGTTCCCACCATTCTAGTTTTTAGTTCTACGAGTAGGTATTTTTCAGTCGCTGCTTACAAACCATAGGTTATCAAGATTTCGGATCTGAGTAGTTGATCAAAATATAATATTTTTTCCCTTATTCAGATTTACTGATAAAGTATTTTTGAGAGTCCACTCAGAAATTAATTTTAAATTATTATTTATTATTTCCTTGGCCACATTTAAATCAGAAAGCTTGCAACTATAAAGAATTACATCAGCTGTATTTCTAGTACATCATTTTCGATATCCCTGAGTGATAATAGAATTTGGTTTATTTTGTAGAACCATATCAACGTTTATCAAAATCAATTTTTAAACAATTTTGCTGAAATCACATCATTGATTTCATATTTGTCTAGGTGACCAATTTCCACACATTTTAATTAATCCTATGAAATATCAGATAGATATCATTTTATATTTTGAGGAATGGTGTTCACTTTTAACGAATTATACAAAGTGTCAGGAAACTATGAGCAAAATATTTAGCGGGTAAATAGTGAGACGGTTTCTATGAGACTTCTTCGAAAACTGTTAACAGAGTGACATAATCTCAAAGTTATTTCTTATAAATTGATATTTTGCTAAAATATCTTTTTTGCAATTAAGCTATCCTTTTCAAATTTGGTATACTTGGTAATGGTAACAAACTGAATTCAACCAGGAAGGTAAATCATATATCCAATATATACGTAAATAAAAAAATATGACAATTTTCTGTTAATAAAGGAAGAGCATATAAATTACTATATTCACAAGATTAGAAGTTTTCAAAATATCAAATGTAGTTGTACCATTATTTTCATGATTTGAATTTTGCTCTTAGTTCCACACTCTCTGTATTTATCATACATATTATACCACACTAAATTTAAGAAATCTCATATGGATTGTACAATTTTATAGTGAATCTTAACACTTTGTGCACTGAGTTTTAAATAAGTAAATCTAAACAGAATCGTGAATGATGATTAAGATCTGATCCCCAAATAATTTTTTAATAATAAATAATACAAATCGTGTAAAATATAGTTTCTTGAAGACATCTCAAGTTGAAAATCCAGTTTATATCTAAAGACCAATACGTCAGATGGTACAGATAAGAATGCAAACTTAACGAACAGGAAAAATAATCACATACTTTTTGAAAACATTGGTTAAATATCAAAGCAGTTCTCAAAAAATTTTACACTACAAAAAAAATGGAGAAAAAGCTCAAAACCGTTTACATACAGAGGTGTTTGAGTAAAAAATTTTTATTGTAGATTTTCACTCTAACGCCTCTGAATTCTAAAGTAATCAGTTCTTCATCATCTAGTACATAAATACCTAAGCCGAAAGGTAGTCTGTAAAAACGTAATACAATTAAGACGAAGCCATCAGTTTAGCTGAAGCTGTAACATGGTGCTGGTGATGATAAGCCATATCTCCATTTCCTGAGGTACCATTGGGGAACCCGAAGATTTGCTGATACGGATAGGATGGCTGGTTTTGTATACAACTGTAAGACTCGTATCCTGGTTCACTCTTTATTGCACTTGTACTTGTTGCAGGTAGCAGGGAGGTTTGACCTAGGTATGGTCTGTCTACTGGTGACGACTTATCTAATTGATGGTTTTGATGATTTTGTGAGGAAGTTTGATGATTCTGCGACGAATGCTGCTGTTGACCGGACTGATGGACCATTGAAGGAGTTTTTGACTCTGTAAAATGAAAATGTGTTATGTGTTAAGACATATTCGCACTTTTGGTCAAATAAATAAATATAATCACGGAATGCTTTTGTCTTATCTTATTTGTTGTGAAGATTATTTTATGTTACTAGTACTTTTGTTGCATGTTAGATACTTGAATATTTCTGATCTGGAATAATTAAAGCCTAAAAAGAGATAACAATGTTGTTTTTATAAAATTTTAAGCAGACTCGAGATGATGTAATCACTGGCTAACAAATGGAATATGGTATGGAAAGCGTGCGTAGATTTTCCGGAGTATCTACATATATGTGTTAGACGTAAACAAATGTAGTATGGTGCATTCGAAAGAATTCCACTTGCTAAATATTTGTAAAACTAGGTATACAAACGGCACACCGTTTGGATGATTTGACAAGTGTTATTCGGTACTCAAAAAAATTTGTAATACTCGTTACAAAGAGGTACCTCAGTGGTTTTAAGGTTTTCACAGCCCTTGCTAATATTTAAAGTATGATCTTGTTATGCCGAATCTGCAAAAGCTTCGCCGTGACTGAGGTCAGTTCTGGCAAAGCTTTTGCATATTCACCACTGAAGGTGAAGAATAACCAAATGTTTGGAAACTCCACCTAATCCGAGTACAACAAGGGGCTAGAGCTAGGGGAGAGCAATGTAAGTCTATAAGTAATAAAAAACATGTTAAGTTGAACATCTAAGAACATAATCTTCGATAAATAGAAATAAATCAATATTTTGAACAATAATAGATAAAAGAATAATCTATTTTTGTGCGATTCCAGAAAAATTATGTTGCTGTGTTGATTACAAATCACACGTCAAAATATCTGTACGCAAAGTAAGTCAATCCTTACCACACAGAGTATTATGGTAAGTGTAAGTAATTGTGAAGATATTAATCAAAAGATGATGAAATGAACTTCAGAAAGAAAATATCCTTAATTGTAAGATATGATTTATACAACAATTCACAAACTCCAAAAACTCGTCTGAGTTTTACAATTAAATTTCAATTTAGTTTAAGACGACAGCGTTGACGAACAAATATCGATTAAGACAAGACATCTTCATGATGGATAATACTTTCACCAGGAGCTGTTCACCATGCAATTCATAGAATTAGTTCAAGAGTGGGTTGGGTACCTACTAATTGGCACAATTGTCTCCAAAGGGACTATATGATTCCATAATCCAATTTCAACGGAAACCAACAAGACTCAGGGCTATTGTTCGGTACAAAGAAGGGTCAAAAGCGAGAAGAATGTTGGAGTTGAATCAGTATACTGTCATTAGGCAGGAATCAGTTAATTAAAGTTTCCTCACATGACCTTGTGATTTGAGGGATCACCTAAACAGAATTTGGCCATGTTACGGAGGCTTAGAATGTAGACTTTGCAATAGGACAATAGAAACAACCTGTTATATCTTGTGCAGGTGTGGAGCATTATATCACATAATCGTTTATATGGAATCAAAATTAGATTCAGTCATGATGAAGCTACATAAATTAGTGGATACTAGATTAGAAATTAGTTAGAAAATTAGGGTATAGAAAGCCAGAAGGTAGGGGATACTTTCGAAGGCATTGCCAAGCGGTTCTTACAAAAAAATGGCCATCATTCCTAACGACCTGTACAGAGTAGTAAAGAATACTATACTTAAGAAAGCATATTACTAAATATACAGTAGATTTCTTTTAACCACAGGCAAGAAAGATCAATTCGAGAAAACTATAGACAGGACCGAGACAAAAAATTCACAGGTACGATAAGTCTGATATAAAATAAAGTATGGAAAACTCAGTCAGGCATGAGTTAATGTGAAAATGAAACATATTTTTTGCTAGCTAAATAAAATTCGTTGATTAAATTCGGTGCCAACTAAATAAATTAGTCGATTAAATTCGGTGCTAGCTATAAATTTATCGCTTAAATTCGGGTAATTTCATTCCCTCTACACAATTAAAATAAATAAAAACTCTGTTGAAAATAATAAGTTGGAGGATTTAAAGTATTTATTTACCATTTTACTACTGTAATATATGGCTCATTACTAGAAAAAATCAAATAATCAATTTTTGATAGATGTGTCAGAAATTGCATTGTTTTTTTCTATTATTAATATGAGTACAATATCCTATACATTGTTTCGCCTTGCCTATTAATTTTAATTTGTGAAGCATATAAGTAATAAAAAAAGGTTAATTATTTATTAACTAATTAAAACAATGTATCGAAAGTACCATTTATAGATGCACATTAATGAATTGTGAGCTTACCAGGTCCTGTCTTAAGAAAATTATTTACAATAAGGCCACAATCATTTAGTTTCATACTGCAGGTTAAGCAAAATTGTGGCAGATTCTGGTTTATAACATAGTAGCTTTTAAAAGCTAATTAAAATTAAATTGTGCAGCAATCTCGCCGATTGAAAAATAATTTCAGTAAGTTAATTACCATCATACAGTTCAAAACTGCTCTATTTAAAACGCAAATCTGGTTATTATATCTGAAAAATGAGGTACTTAATTCTTACAACATACGTTTAGTCACCAATCTGTTAAGTTAAAGTTGTCATAATCTTCCCAAACACATAATACACAGTAGAAGTCAACACCTCATAGGTTTTCATAGTAAAGACACAAACAGTATATGTATAACAAAAATAATTCAAAAAATAGGTCGTAACATACAAATAGCGCATATTTGAGGAAAGAATATGTATGATTTTGTACAAAAATGTTTTAAATAAAATAAAACAATTTCCACTAGTACAAAATTAATCTCAAAGCACTGATTTATTTATAGCAACTTGTGAAAAATCATTTCCATTATTATTAATTGAATATTAATTTTATAAGCTAGATATGAAACCATTTTCCTATGGAGGTCATAAATATGTTTATGAAGGTAATTTAAATTTTCTTATTAGAAATATTAAATTAATATTTAATATTTCTAATCACACTTTTTAATTTGAAGAGTTGAAATGAAGTCAATGGTTTTCAACATACTGATTTTACTTTTATTCCTAATTTGTCTATAAAATAACTATAAAATATATGTTCTAAACAGAAAACAGCAGGTATTACTGTATAGGTAGGTATGTCTCATTAGAATTAGAACATTAGATGTAAGAATGCCTTATAGAATAAGTAGGTACGTATTAAATTTTGTAAGGTATACAGGGTGATTCATAACTTATCCAAAAAAATTTGGGAATAGATGCGGCATGAGAAATGGAGTTAATAACGTAAAAAAATTTTTGTAAAATCCTTATAGTTTCCGAGAAAAAAATTATTGAAGTTATAGTACATTCAACCACTACATAGCTGGACAACTGTAGTCTCTAGCGTCATTCGCAATACGCGTGGAGATCCATGTGACTCCTAATACTGAAATCCGTCGTTGCGGTAGTTTTTACCTGTTATCTGTGGTGTTTACAACAGCTTTTTAGTAGTTAGTGTTAAAAATTTTGTATTTGTAAGGGTCCCCTGTACATCCAGAATTTTTTTTTGGATAAGTTCTGAATCACCCTGTATGATAATTCTTGAAACTTTCGGCACTGTTTTTTTTTCAATTATTGTGTTGTGTAAAATTATTACTCTTTGATATGTACATACTCCCTATGCTAAAAAAATAACTCGACTTTACTCCCATACATATCTTTTTTGCTGACATTATTTTGAACACATTTTTTATAACTAATTTAAATTAGCATAAATATCTACTACTATGCATAAAAATAGATACAAAAAGTAAGGGAGAAAAAATAATAATTAAAAAAATCTATGGAATTATTTGACAAAATGTAAAACTATGTAAGTATTTGAGATGCTTATTTTTTCTAGATTACTTTTTTGTGTGCATCTTACTTAAATACCTAAATCATGTTTAACATAAATCATGTTATGACTATTTGGTCATTATATTCAATACTTGAGCATTTTTACAGACTGGTAAAGTGACATCTATCATCTATTACTAAAATTTATCACACTGATCAGGCATTATAATAACTAGGTACAATGTTTAGTGACATTTTATTTAAATAAATATGGAAGATTAAGTAAATTAGGTAATGTAGATCTATAGTTGCCTAGATATCTCATACTATCCAGTACATAATTTAACATTGTCCAAAATAATGAACGAATCAATGAAATAAAATTATGAATTTGCTTGTCACTTGGAAGATTCTCATCATCATGCAGGTGCATCGAGCATCAGTAATCACATCGTCATTACTGTACCTCTTATAATTTAATTGTCCTATAATACGATTCAAATATATTGTGGTTCGATCACATTTTTTGACGTAAACTTAGGAAAAAATATATATTATGTCACAGCTCCTTAGGCATCATCGGGAGAACATGATTGTGTGGAAGTGTGCGCATTATCATGATAGAGGTATTCAGGAACCTCCTTCAAAAATTCTACCAATAGTTAGTGAAGGGGCGTACTAACCTTCTACAGAGGTGGAGCTACTGTCATCTCTGTCTCCTCCCGCCGGCTTCTTTGGTTTACGTTTGCGTGTTTGAATGCCATCCTTGCGCATGGCTAAGGGCCTATTTACACCGTGCAACTTGAAGTATAACCCACAGGCATTACAGACCGGTTCCCCATCATTATTTCTTCTCCACAATGTCGTCGTCCTGGTGCCGCAGTTCGTGCAACAGAGACCCAACCTTCTCGTTGCCGTCTGAAATTGGAAATTCTGTTTTACATATTAAGATTTCAAAACAGAAAGATGGTTGGGAAAATATATTAATTAAGCGAATGGGGTTCATCTAAAACCTTTACAGATAATTATAATTTTTATATTCATCTAACATACCTACTTAGGTATAACTGATATTTTGATTATTTGGTGTAAGATATATCGAGAGCCTGAATTTTCGAGCCACACCGTGGGGATCTCGGTTATCTTCAGACATACAAGATCGGTCAGATTACAACAAAGTTACAGAATTTGATGATGAATAACATGCCAAAGCAAAAAGTCAGGTATGTTATTTGATTTTAAACACAGACATCATTAGGCCACTTTTTATCGGAATCCAAATGCGTTGTTAATTTAGCCGTAGTATTTATCAGAACAGAATAATACCATTATGCTTTTGTTTTTCTTATGGGCACCATAATCGATATACCTATTGGATTTTAGCATTATTGAGTTATTGAGTTAAGTGGGTATTATGTTTTATTTTTTTTGTTGTCGTCGAAATACCAAATTATCCATTTTTAAAAGGAGTATTTTCAAAACAAATTATAAATAGAAAAATAGGCTGAATTAAAAAGATCCAAATCCAATAGGGCGCCATAAGAGAAACAAAAGTTTAAAGTTATTTTTTCCGTTCTCGATTCTCCAAAGTAGGTAATGTATTATTTTAATAATGTTTGACTTTGAAACCTCCATATTGTTCTATTTCCTCATAAAAAAAAACACGAAGTAAAAATTTCAGTTTTGCGTGGATTACTAATGAAACGAAAAAAGATCTACCATCAGTACGTCATTCACAATCGAATTCTGTAACTTTGCCGTAATTAAACTGACCTTGTATCAGTTGAGATAACCGAGATAAACACTTTATAGTCCAGACGATATCTGTTTCAAAAAGCCATATTTGGGTGAATCGTATATCCACGGAGATTTTTGGCTTTCAAATATCACTAGAAATGAAAATTTTTTTCTATGCGCATAAAAAAACGTGGGCTTAACTTTTGGCGGCACAATATGTTAAAAAAATTGAAAAAATGTCATATTTTTCTTCCTATTTAATTATGTATCTTTTTAAGAGTTGATTTTAGGCGAAAATGGAAGAGGAAAAAAATGTTTGTAATTAAATTTTTTACAATACATAACTGGTTACAAATCGAATGAATCATGATTATTATGGTAAAAATCGAAAAAATCACAAAAATGGGGTTAAAAAACAATACTTTTTAGGGAATTTTTTTGGTGTATTTAAATTGGGTGTAGGACCTTTATACTTGGCTCAAGAAAACTTC